CTGAAAAAAAAAGAGAGGAGAGAGGAAAAGTGGGGAGATTTTAAGTAAAAAGGGGCAGATTCAGAAAAAGAAAGTCGAGATCGAAGTGAGAAGTAAAAGAAAAGGCAAAAATAAAAGCGAACTTGATAGAAATAGAAAACGTCTATATTAATGCGTTCGAATTTTTGTTGAGCGTTTACTAATGCGTAAACGAATATTCTTTTTCCAAAGAGGTAAAACGATTGCACACACGCAAAACACACACACATAAAACACGCAACAACACTTCACACACACACACACACACACATACATATATGTAGATGGATTGATGTGAGTTTGTGATCTTAGGTTTGACGCTCTCTGCGTTCGTCAGACAAAATGTATATATATATATATATATATATATATATATATATATATGTGTGTGTGTGTGTGTGTATTCATATATATATATATATACATATATATATGCATATATATATGCATATATATATATATATATATATATATATATATATATATATATATATGTATATATATATACACAGATTATATATATATATATTTATATATATACAGATTATATATATATAGAGAGAGAGAGAGTGAGAGAGATTACATATATATATATATATATATATATATATATATATATATATATATATATATATATATAGAGAGAGAGAGAGAGAGAGAGAGAGAGGGAGAGAGAGAAAGGGTCTGAGAGCGAGAGAAGAGAAAGAGAGAGAAAATGGGCTAAGAGAAGGAGAGAAATATGGTTTCTCCATCTGTACTTATAGAAAGCTTAGTATATATGAACTTCTGGCTGCGTAGAATATGTGAGAAAATATTATTTTTATTATTGACAACTACAACAGCAGCAACAAGAAAAACAACAACATCAATAATAATGATAACAATAATAATAATAATAATAATAATGATAATAATAATAATAATAATAGTGACAGAAGACAGGAACACCAACGATGAAGACAAAAGCCGAAAGAGAACGAGATTTGCCACGAACGGTTTGACTGAATCACTACCCTATTTCAGACTCGGATTATGTCCCTTTGCGCTTCATTGCCTTTATTGATTCGGCGAAAGAGAATAACACTGTCTGTTGAAAGCCGACTTTATTTATACACAAATTTTTGTTTCGTTTCTTGTGTTTCTAACACGTTCAGATTTTGCATGATTTCATCCAGCTTCATTGCACCAAATTTTCGCTTCCTTTCCACCATTTTTCTTTCTTTTTTTTTCTTTTTCATTTTTGATGTGAACGAAGAATTTTCTCGACAAAATCCAACATTAATACTTCAATACATATGTCCGCACGTGCAGATGTTATTGTATTAATATGCATTGACCATCTACCGTCACGATTCCCAAGCATTGTACAGAGGGTATCAACAGAAAAAGTAAGACTTGTAAATTAGGAAAGAAGAATAAAAAGAAATAAACATAAATGTATCAAATCCAGAAAATGGCGTATTTCTACTTCCTTGGAAAAGAATTAAGAATATTATGCCTATATAAGCCAACTACGTAAAATATCGGTAAGGTTCCATGTAACCCACCCTCGTGATTCATTTTTACAGAAACCACAAACTTCATCTGGGAAATCATACATCACATTGACTTGCAAAGCCAGCATCTTTCATTTGGTAATGTCTATATGACATTTGCAAAGCGGAGATGTCTAATCGCACATTTTTCATGTAGGAATTCCTCCATGGCATTTGTTTTCCAAGCTTAGATATCTTAACGGACGTTTTCATGTGGTAATGTGTAGCAATATGAATCAGCCGAGGTCTTGACAAATTGAAAACAGCTGGACCTGTCGAAAAAATGGATATGGAACATTTATTTTCGGCCGATGGTTATCAGTAAGTGTATTCAACTTCAGAGTACAGAGCAAGAGGCTCGGACAGAGAGAAAGTCACGGAAGGACGATAAATTATTTTTTTAGGTGAAGATGACAAGACAGAAAATTGTCATGTATAAAAACTGAGCATTCCGCAAAAAGGTACTAGGAAGAGACGAAGCGGGTCTCTCGGAATGAACAAGGTAGACAACCGCTGTGCTCCTCCCCCACACCTACGCCTAACCTCTACTTTGCTTGCTTACAACGCAAGAATAAACTCTGGTCTACTGCTAGAAATTGTTTCGTTTTTCACTCGTGGGTAACGATCTCACCGAAGAAACTGCACCCTGTCAACAAACCCTGTGTCTGGTCTGAGCTGCAACGCAACAAATACCTATACCATGTCTAACAAAGTCAGAACATCTAAACTGAGACATACCATGCAGGAATGTGTATATAAAATCGGCTAAGATAGCAGACATTTACTGTTGAAAAGTCTAAATCCGAATTGCTAGTATAGCCAACGTGTCTCAGAAAATATATTTCATGGAGAAATATCTATATGATCTTTGGTTAGCAAAGATAATATGTTTAAACAGTTATATTTCATGGGAGAATGTCTACAACACATTGTTTTGCAAAGCAACATAAAAAGAAATTGATTCGTATAGACAGTAGTTATGTAATAGTTAGAGAAACATTCGCATCTATGTATTGATTAAAATGTAATGAAGTGTCAAATGAAACAAATATCTCATACATAACATTTCATTGTTAATTCTGAACTACGTTAATTACTTACGGCCTCTATCGAACCTCGGATCACTAATCCGAACAGGGACCTTACATTCTCTAGTGCGATGTCTGAAATACTACCCATCTTCTCTCTGGGGTTGGTGTTTTTATGTCTGCCAGTAACGCGGTACTTTCCCATACACAGCTGGACTGGCAAGTGTTCAACTGTCGTGGAAGCCATTGGTATTGGGTGAATCACGGATTTCCAACCCCGGCTAGGAGGTTATCTCACATTAACACTGCATCTAGCTTCTCTATAGGACACCGAGTATAAAGTCTGTTTTCCATGGTCTAAACTGAGACCCATAAAGCAAGAACAATGCCTTTTCTCGGACCATTTATTTTTGCTTTTATATAAGAACCGGATTAAACCAAAAATGGAGGATTTCTGCTATATCTGTGTTGAGGATGCATAATCGTAACTTTCCAGGTTTGACAAAGTTCAAAAGTCTCTAAACGGCCCTGTGGGTGATTAATTATTTTTCATTCTACGACCTCTTTGTCACGGAAGAAACGTAGCAAGCCTCTCCCTACACTATCGTTATTTCTATTCTGGCGAGCTATAATCCTTAGTTCCCTTTACAGTTACAACGAGACATATCACGTATACAAGGAGGACTCATCTCCATTCCTTTTGCATTCCATTGTAAGTTCCACAGAGAGATTGTTCCCTAGAATCAAGAACATAGTCCCTAGAGGATACTTTCCCGATCAATACAATCTGAACCTCTTCAAGTCCTGGGTCAACCATTTTCTATTTTCAACAATCTCATATAGTATGCTTCCACCCCTTGAGTTAATTTTACGCCTTATATTTTGGGCAAACAGCCGGAAAAAAAAGTCTCCAGAAATAGTGTAATGTTGAAAAACGTTGATTATAGTGCTCTTCTCTAACATATTCCAACTATATTTGTTTCAGTATGTAAATAAATTGAGGCGAATAGTTGCGCTCATTTGCCTGTGAAGGATCCACTTTAGATTGTCCTTGTTATCAAGTGTGAAAAAATTAGTTTCATGTTAATTCACCAGAAACGAAATCTCTGGACGATTTATTTTCTGTTAGAAAAGAAATTATTCCAGTTAAAGAAAATTGATTGAAGTTTTTTTTTTTTTTGATTAAAAATGCAATTCTTCTCAATCTTTTTCTAGATTTTTTTTTCAATTATTGTTGGTTGATTAAAATAATCATTAAAATTATAATCATTTTTTCCAATCATTGTTCTTAGGAGTAGCGCAACGGATATTAATATCATAGGATTTTTAACGTATTTAATGCTGCTGTTATTAAAGCTTCTGTTTCCACTTTTATTATTAATATTATCATTGTTCTTATTTCTAACTGAATTCTGATGATTTCATCAATCGTTTTCTTATTTGCTTATAAATAATTCCTGATCTTCTTGCATCGTTTGTTTCCCTTTGCTTTCTTTTTGATTATCCTTATTCTCATTTCACATCTTCTTTCTTCTTAGTCTGCATCATAATACTTTCTTTTTTTCTTTCTTTTCTCATGACGGTTGTTCTTTATTTATCTATCCTTCTTTTTTATTCACCCTCCTCCTCATCATCCATTCATTTTTGTCCCTTTTATTAAACGCCTTATTCTTAAGTAATAATGTTTAGCACGCTTCTTTAGAAACAGTATCTCTCTCAGTATCAATCACCGTAGTCTTTCCTTGCGTGTATTATTTTTGAGGGTGGATGTCAATGCGCAGTTGATAATTCATGTAGACCTAACTGCAATATTCCTCAGTTTTTCTAGTACTCGAATCAGGTATTAGTACGTTTCCAGATTTTTTTGTTTTTTGTTTTTTGCTTTCTTTGATCTAAGACCCGACAGACTAACTTTTACTTATTTTTATTATTTTCAGTTGGACTTATCATTATTACGTCTCGAAGTCTGCCGAACCTATGTGTTTCCGAATACTACTTGTCGACCTCTCTGCCAGGAGACAGAGAATAACCCAGACAGCTATTCGAACCCGTGTATACGGGGAATTTTTGTCTATGTGCTCAGAACGCCCCACGTAAAAAAAAACAAAAAAGAACAACAAAAAAAAAAACGGCCTTGTGTCACATCCCGCCTTGTGGGGAGGTAACGAGTAAATAACGTTTCGACAATTGTGTACTCCAGCCTTCTTCAGATGATTGTCGATCCGGGTAATAAATACTAAGCAGTTATGGTTTTTCTTTAGTACTATATAAAACCAGTCAATAAAAGTCTGTCTAGTCATGACAGCACTTTGATGTCTACTGGAATTGGTATTCTGTATTTTCCACATCTTTCGTCAAAATTAAATAGTTAATGGAGAAATTTCAATTAAAGTGCCGAATCTGGGATCATCTGTTGCCA